GCAGAAAGTCACACGGCTGCTTAAAATCAAGCGCGATGAAAGATGAAAAGGGAGGTCTGCTGTTTTCTTTAAAGCGAGCTGGTTTAATAGGAACAACTGTGTGTGCAAGTGTGAGTCTCAACCGCCAGTCTAATTGTGATAGAACAAAGTTAATGAGCTTGATGACAAAATAGTCCGGGTTACAACGCTGGAGATGGAGACAGATGGTGTGTGGGGAAAAAGAAAGAAAAAAGAAAATGTAAGTGGTCACGTAGGCGAATTCACGGGACAAGGAGAAGACAGGAGATAGAGCGAGGAAGGGAGGGAGGAGGAGATGATGAAAACAAGGAGAATAGGGAGGTTGAATGTGTGCGCCAGATATAAAACAAGATAACTTTGTATCTGGTAGCTTGGCACAGGTCAAACATGTAGGGGGACGTTTCTCTGAGCTGCTTACCCGGGAGACAAACTCTGGTGACTGGAGGCTGAGTTGTTGCTGCAGGAGAGCGCCTGGAAGGACGAAAACAACACAGAAAGGGGGGAAGAAAGATGCTATAAAACAAAGACTACCACAGATATATAATAATAATGTGAATGCGAATATAAACAATAGGTTTTTTTTTTTTTACAGTAATTACATAAACAAACACAATTGTGTCTGAGAGTCAAATTGAGTCACTTAAAATCCAGTGAACTATTCAAGTTTGTCAGAAAACTGCTTACTGACTTTATTTAAGGGATAATTTTAAGGCAATATAAAGGCTTATTTTGTAATAAACACTAGCAAATCTTACTTGAAAATTTAAAAACCAAACACAAAAAACACACTAAATTAACAGATTTTAGAGGCTCTGGCAATAATATATAGATATGTGGACGTTGCGTGGACTCCGGGCAGTCCTGTGGAAAAACGAAGTACCCCATGATTCATCAGCTGTGCACCACCTTAACTTAAAGTAACTGTTTCTGTATGACTGTCTCACACATTGTGTGGGGATTTTGTCCTACTCTTCTTTACAACGCTGCTTTGACTCATTGATGTTTGTGGGGTTGGTTTATGCACAGCCTGTTAAGGTCCTGCCACAGCATTTCAAACAGGTCGAGGTCTGGACTTGGACTGGACCATCGCTGCTATGCTTGACAGTAGGTATGATGCTAACATGCTGTGTTTGGTTTTCTCCACAGCTGCTGTGCACGACAGCTGAACATCTTCACTTTGGTTTCGTCTGTCCAGAAGTCTTGCAGTTTGCTCAGATGCAGCTTTGCAAACCTGAGCTGTGTTGCCATACATTTGTTTCCAATTATACTTTTGTGAACTTAAACATTTAAAATGCTAGCTGAGGCTAGCTCTTGGGTTTTCTGCAATTCCTCTGAGCATTGCACAGTCTGACTTTGGGGTGAAGTTGCTGCATGTGCATCCACACCTGGGAAACACACCTGAATGCTCTAGACCAGCAAACTGAAAAAGTGTAAAAGTTTTTAAGCATTTATTTGCGTGTTTACATGTTGCATTTCCTGGTTGAACTGTGTGAAAAGTTTCGAACAGTCAAGGCAGGGGTTGCAAAGTATAAATAGACTTTTAGGTGGAGATGGTCAGTGTTCTGCAACATGTTGCTAAACACATCAGTTTTAACCTCCTGAGAGCCCGTGTCCTCATGGGGACATTACTGTTTCCTTCTTGCTCTTTGCTCAACTGTGTGAACGTGTATGAAAAAGTCAAGGAAAGGGGTTTCACAGTATAAACAGACTCAATGTTGGTATTTTGGCAGCGGCCAGTGGGCTGAAACACGTTAAAGACATTAAACTTAACCTCCTGAGGCCCCGTGTCCTCATATGGGGCTTCTCTGCTCATTATTCTCTATTCAGCTAAATATTTTACACTTTTGTTTTGTTTTATGTTGTACAATGAACCCACCGTCCCTATTTTTTTAAAGTTTAAAGTTTAACTGAACGTGTGCTGGAATGGCGAGCTCCAGCTTATGTGTGTGTTTAATTCCGTATACGTGAACGATCCACGTTTGTGCGCTTCTCAGTCTTTGCTCTTGTCTGTGTGCAGCTATCAGAGCTAAATGTAGGTCAGACGGGCTTCAGGTAGTCAATACAGAAAACTGAGCGTTAATTCAGCCTGAGGCAGAGCAGAGAGCTTTTAGTGTCTTTACAAACACATATTCATACATAAGCCTTCGCAGTGACGAACAGAAAGAAAGGTGGCCTACATACATATTTCTAGTACATCTAAATCTGCAGTCGCACTCCACTGGGAGAGATGATGCTCAGCGTGCTGCTGCAGCTTAAAGCAACACTGTTGAAAAACGGAGC